CAAAGCTGTCCTAAACATCAAGACCGAAAAACAAACTGCTGGTAAAACTCCTCATTACAAAGGGGTCACCTCTTAGCTTCGTTTTGTTATGAATAGCTGCACATTTTGTGACTGTTCTATATTACTGTATAGTTTGATAGTTAAACAACAAAAACAAAGAACAACAACTAAAAGAACCGTTACTGATCGATCTTGAAGTACTTGCTGCGCTTGCTTAGCAGCACAGTCGACAGATTGATATCCGACTACTTGTCCTGAATTTTTTTATCTCCAGAAACGACGTATAATATAACATTGATAGATTGGAGTTAAAGGAAACTGTTGCTATGTAACCTATTTGTGAATCTGTCGCCACAACTGAAGTAAACAAAATAATATTTGAGACTATGGAACTTTTGAGATTCTTTTCTGGTGTACCTTAGAGTTCTGGATTAACCTCATGTCGATCTGAATGTTTGAAACCAGTGTTCGTGTTCTTAGTATTTTGTAAGATTTAAACCTGCTACATACACAGTATATCTTTCCTTCTTCTTGCACTCACTGACCCGCGTCTTAGAGCAGTGCTATACTCCGGGGTTATGCAGATCCGACCAATCCCAATTCCACCCCCCCCCCCGCCTTTCTTCCACCGATCCCACCCCTCGTTGTTCGTGAAAAAAATAGGCAATATTATTATATATTTGTTTGTGTCCGGAACGATACAATTTAAATTTTAATCATTTTTGAGTTTGACTCCTTTGACAGCCTGTCAGTATCACCAACCAGGATTGAATGTAATACAATGTCACAGCAGTCGTCACAGAGTCACAGACGGTAATATGGGACTACGTCACCGCCCAGGGATCAAACTCACGTCTGGGTACAACTGGGTCAGCTAGTAATGATTATAATTAAAACAACAATTTCAATAGACCCCATTCCTGTGTAATAAGCTCTTGGTGCTTTAAACCCTCTTTTTAAAATTAACGCTAACGCAAAAGCAGACGTTCAGTATTATTACAGTACAGCACAGGCATTGCAGCACAATTCATTATAATTCTATATAGCAGCTCAAGTTATATTTTTTAATCTAGCATTGACGAAGTTTACTTAATTACAGTATACACTGTAAGTGTAAGTAAAGAGCAATGCATGAATACAATTAACTGTCAATGTGCCGGGACAGTGACAAACGAACTGGGGAAGAACAGAAGGAAAATTAGTTATTTTTCCAGCTTTAGTTTACGGCACTTGTAAGGTAATTAGGTCATCTAAGATCAAAGATGTTTCGAATACTAGAGAGTGAAATACGAGGATAGGAAGGAGGGAGAATAGATACTATTTAAAACTAATAATGTGGATGTTTGGCAAGAAAAAAATGAAACCACACCACAGAGCCTGCGAGGCAAAAGTTAGATATTCCAGCAGTGGCTTCCATTCACTTCGTTTCTCTTTGAGAGGGTTTCTTTTCTCGGGGGCAAAAATGAACTCAGAGGATTAGCCCAGTTACCTTGTTGTTGTGTTGCACTAGAGTCTGAACAACAAAAAACTACTAATTATATAATGTAATTTCTTGAACTCGACCTTTATACCGCTTCCATTGCTCTCCAAATTAGATAATTAGATACTGGAACACTAGCATGGTTTTTTTTTTAATCCATACATTGGGTTTTATGCACTTTTCATCTCCGTAAGAAGCAAAGCCTATGAATTAAACAGCCATTTTAAATAGGAATCAATCAAGTGGATGCTACGCCTTAAAACACAAGAAACACACAAAGTTCAAGAACCTTGTTAGGGTGATTCGAACAAAGGTCATTCACGCTATCATAAAACCAACAGAGGTAATGACCTGCCCAATTGAAGCGACTCTCGGACACCGTGTGTCATTCCTATTTCTTTGGTATTTCAAGGCTGTATGTCAATGTCATCTATATTTTCCACTTCCTACTGACCTACTATGTGCTAGCTCGTCGCCTTGAATCTCATCTTTCAACTACGACTAATGCTAGCGTCTGTGGTGTAGCGCTTAGGCTCTTCATCATCGCACGCAGGAGACATGAGTTCTATTCCTGAGTATCTCAGTCTTTCTGGAGGGGTAATGATTTTTTTTTTTTTAATTTTTTTAATAGTAGAGGGTTTTACGGCGCTCGCAACTGCTTAAGGTCATATGAACGCCAAGGGGTGGGTGTCAACAGAGAAGTCTTTACAGGGAATCAGACAGACTGCTCACTTCTCTAGCTTCAACAGCACAAGGTCTGCTTCAGCTATCAAGGCACCCCAAAATAGCAGGTCACAAGGGAGTGACAAACATACAAAAGAAGTAGAGGAAAATGACAATAGCAAGGATCAGGAAAGAAAAGGCAGCAGTACCCTGTTGTAGATCAGGCACAGTTAAGAGTGTGACATGAATCAGCCCATTTACAATTCTACTATGCTTGAACGAGATATGTCCCCCCTTTGGGAATGGCCTAAAGACACTTCAGTCAGTGGCACTGCCCCGGGGGGTTGATGATATTTACATGTATATGTGTGATATATATATATATA